CTTGATTCGTTGGGTGATTAAGGTGAAACGAGCTTCATCTTAATCGTAACTCGAAGGGGACGAGTTTTGACCACAAAGAGTTGTGGGCCCACGGCTAGCTTACACCTGAACCATCGAGGGTCACACTGCTCGTGCACATGAGATCTTTGAATAAACGGTCAGAGATAAAATAGTTTATCTTTGCATAATTGGAAGTCAATATGATTGAGTCCAACATTCGTAATTTGGAATTATGAATGAGAATAAGAAAAGGAAAAGAATAAGCGAACGTGTTAGTGAACTTTCTAAATCGGGAAGTTTCCAAATTTAGAAAGTCCACTGAACTAGGGTTTCCACTTTTGGAAAGTTGGAAAATAAGAGATGGCACTCGTAATGACGAGAAAATTATAATGACTCGGAAAATGTAATCGTTACAATTTTTCGATCATTGAATTGAGAGATACGAGCGATTAAAGAAACTAACGAGCTTAAGCTGTTGGGCCCAGTCCAACTTAAGCCCGCTAGGGTTTCATGCAAGGGACTATAAATACATGATTTATAACCCTAGCACACATAACAAAAACCCTAACCCTAAGCGGCCGTCCCTCTCTCTCTCGCCCCCTCTCCCGCGCGGCCACCACCGCACCACCGTCGCCGCTCCGTCGTCGGAACCGGCCGTTCGTCGGCCGTTCTTGTTCGGTATCCTTTCTCCTTCATTATTCTTTCCGTTTTATTCTAACTATTTCGTGTCTAGTGCCACGATTTAGTAGATCGAAGTATACGAGGTGAAATCCGAGAGGAGGAAGACCGTAGATCGAAGAATCGAGGAGCAACGCACGAGCCGAAGCTGCACGCTGCCCCACGCGCCGCCCCGGAAGACCGCGCGTGCTCTACACGCGCCGCCGTGAGCTGCCACACCGCCGCTGCTGCTGCTCCATTGCTGCCCCGATTCTACGGATTGGTTTCCGTAGTAATCACGACGTATCGTTCGCTCCTACCTCACGCGTCAAGAGGTAAATACTCGAAACCCTAGTTTCGTTTTAGGGTTTAAATTTAAACTATGATTTCATGCTTATGTTTGTAAGATTTTATGTGATTATGTGTAATCGATTAAATCGTTGCAAGCATGTTATTTGGTTTAAATGCGAGCATGTTAATTGATTTAAATTCGGTTAAATTTATTAGCATGTATGTTGTTTTTAATTTCGCTGGAAGCGCAAAGGTACGCAATTAATTGATTTAATTTATCGGGCATGTACTTGTGTGTTTTAAAGTCGTTTAAATCACGTAAAATTTTTGTTTTCCGCTGCGTATGCGTGCCCGAAACCCAACAATTTTTTAGTTAGAATTTGATGTTGGGTTTGGAGAAGGGGAAGGCTAATTAAGATCGAAAGTGAAACATAGATGAAGAGGACGGAGGTGGAGGTGGTGGTGGTGGCGGATCTAGGGTTTCATATTGGATGAGTGCGAATGACTACGGGTGTCTATGAATTACTATGAGTATATACGAATGGGTAGCGACTAGGGTTCAAAATGAGAGTATGTGACTACGGATTACTATGGTTCCTATAAGTGTCTATAGTCGACTACGACCGATTTTTGTTTTTTAAACATTCACAATTTTCAATATCGTAAATTATAGTATACCATAGGACACCATAATATACCATAGTACACCATAGTATTTTAAAATCTGCTGTTTTATTTAACAAAAACGAGAAAAAAAAACATAATTTTCAGTAAAACATTAAAAATAGATAAAAAAAAAAAAAACTTGTTTATAATAATGTAAAAAAATGCTAGAGTGAAAAACGAAAAAATAAAGACGACAAAGTCTATAATAATACAATAAAATATGTTAGATGGAAAAATAAGATATTAAATGTATAATAAAAATGATAAATGCAGTTTGAATTTTACTAAATGCAAATTTCGAATTTGTGAGTGGAAGGGCATTTTCGGAATGAATTTAATAAAGGATGTGAAGCAAATGTTTAGTTTGACTTGTCATTTAGTTCTAATTGATTTTGTCACCAGGGACCTATATCTTATGCCCCATTTTTTTCTCCACTATAAATACCCACTTATTTTATTCATTTTTCTTCACCAATTCACCAATTATCTTCTCCTCTCTTCTTATTACAATCTATTAGCAATTATCAAGCTTTTTGCACTCAATTAGCAATATAATATACATATAATTTATCAATATTATATATTTTCCCATTCTCATAATTTTGTATAATTCCCATTCTCATAAAAAAATTATTTTTAATTTATTATTTATTATTCTCTATTATTTTCTCTATTAATCTCAATATGTCTCGTAGAGGATCTTCTTCCAAATCGGAGGCTTTAATGCCATCATCATCACCATATATTCCGATTATGGAAGAAGAAGATGATATTCCTCAACATGAGAACTATGAAGGGGGGGATTTTCGCAATTTTGAATCTCTATTGAGCGAAAATGAGGAAGAAGTTGAGGAGATTCAACCGACTCCGGCACGACGGGGGCGAAAATAAGTCTTTCTTAAGTAAATATAATATATATTAAAAATAAAAATTGAAGAGCACTGCAAGTCTGTAAGTCTGTAAGTAACATAAAGAGTTGTGTATAATTTCTCAAGTAATTTTAAATAATTTTAGAGAGTTTGTGTATACATTTTATATTTTAATATAAGTATAATTATTCTTAAGTAATTTTAAAATTATAAAAAAATTATAAAAAAAAAAAGTTATATCAGAACCGGACGGTTCTACGGTTCTAACCGGGAAGCGAACCGGAACCGGTTCGGAACCGAACAGCTTGGAACCGGATTTTTTCGGTTCGGTTCCGGTTCCTCCAAAATCGGAACCGGAACCGAACCGAACCGTGGTCAGGTCTAGCCCCACCCATTAATTGAGAAAGAAATAACCTTTATGCGATTCACGTGGATTGAGAATCTATGGTAAATGGTCTATTTTATAATATATCGAGTGAAATATAATGGGTAGATATTTACCATTTATATACAAATAAAACCAAACACATTCATATTGGAGCTAATAAAAATGTGTGTATATATTAAATTATTGGGTAAATTACATATACACCCCTGATGTATGCAAAAATAACTTTAAGGCCATGTGGCATTGGTAATTACTGCCGCAACCCTGAAACAATTAATGGAGCTAATATTTCATGTACTGGGTACCAAAATGCACTGTTTGTTTCGTGCGGGCCGATAATGCTACCATAAACGAAAATTTATAAATTTGATATAAAATAATAAAAATATTTAAGAAATGTTAAGAGAGTCATGTCACCCTCTAGCTCTATATTGTTTCCACCACTGTGTGAAACTAATAGTCCATTAGAACCCGAATGGAATAACTTATCAATTTCATTATTCTGTTAGCGTTTCTAATATTGGTTCAAGCAGGTGGTGTAATTACAAATACTATATGAACCTTAAAGTTATTTTAACACCCATCAGGGGTGTATGATGTAATTTACTCAATCTAGGGTGAAGGATATTAGTATGAAAAGAAAAAAAATAAATTATGTGGATATAATATTACAAGCCTAATTTGATATATTATTGCCCCACTACTTAATTGAGAAAGAAAGTATTTAGTCTCAAGTCTGAACCCGACAGTGTTTGGTTCAATTGATATATTATTGCCCCACCCATTACATAATTCACATTACATAGTACGGCCCATTATTAAATGGAATAATTTGCTACACACTCCTTTGCACTAATCATCTTTAAGATTAGTGTTACCCCTTAGACGGAGACATCGATTATAATTCGAGTGTGACCGAGTTATAGTTGAAGTGGTGCCAAGAAGTGTTGGCACAAGGCATGCTACACATGGGCCAAACGGTGGCTGAGAGATGGACAAGTATTGAGGTGCTTGGCCGAGAAATACAAGGCAAGGGTTTCGAGTGATTGACAAGCATTGAGGTGCTTGGCCGAGAAAGGCATGACAAGTGTGGGCAAGGCAAGCAGGCTGAATAGCACGCGTGCGGGCAGATTCGATCCTTGGGTGCGCGCGCGCCGATTGGGCAAGCCGGGCAGCTAATTGACTTGGGAAGTTACGGAAGGCAGTTGCGGAGCGGTTGGCATCAGCAATGACTTAGAAAACCGTCCCTTTTATGTTGTATTAGTGAGCCAAGTGGCTGGCCTGCGTGCCGCCATGTGTCCCTTGCCAGTTTAGCGTGTAAACTGCATTGTACCTTGTATTTATAGGCCCTTGAGTGCACAAATCCGGCCCATTCAGATAGAGGGACTCAGATTGCAATTGTTAGCATCTGTTGTGAGGATTCGTTGTGTGCACCAAGGGCTTTCTTTGTATTATTCGTGAGTGAATCAATAAAGGTTGAGCGTTGCTCGTAAATTGCTTGTGTTGTTCGCTTTCCGCTGCATACTTGTGATTGTTGCTGTTCATTTGATACAACGATGGTGCAATACGTTTGTGTGAAGAATTGTTGAGTTGGCTGACTGATTTTGTGCGTAAATCAGGCCGTACGGTGGAAAAAATTTCGATTATAAATTAACCCCTGTAACAATTAGGATAATAAGATATTTATAATTTGCTAAAAATTCTTTGTTCTTTAGACTTAGTTTTCATCACGTTTAATCTAACTGGATCAGATTTCGTTCAATCCCGTTGAACTCCATCAAATATGCTCCACCTCCGCTCCCTGTTGATGCCATTGTCGAAACTCCACACAAAGATACACGCATAATCACAGACCTATGTACACATACACACAATCATACAATGCACGCACATATGATTTTGGCCCCTCCGATGCAATCTAATTAATCATGAAAATCAAAAAGAAAAAAAAAAAGTTATATGGAGAATACTTTGGTGATGGTAATGTTGCTTATTAATAAATAAGAAAATGTTTTAGGATCTACCTAGACTGAAAAAAAAAAAGTATTATAGGATTTGGCGCAATTTACTTTAATTAAAATAATCATTTGATTGTCAAGATAAGATTAGTTAATATAAGATTAATAATCTGATGAAACCAATTATATTATTGGACACTCGATGATCAAATAAAGAAACATACATAGAAGACAAGATAAACCATGATAACATATATATATAATACTTGCGGGTCGACCCGACATATTATTGAGGATATCAAACATAAAATAAAGTCGCATTATTTAGATAATCATAGCTAATCTCTCCAACCACCAACGAGGCCTTAGCATTTTGGCAACGGTGCACCACACAAGCACCTGTTGTGGAAATACGACGTCGTTTCAAAGTCCTGCAACCTTCCGCCCACCGGAATCTTGCCGCAGAGCCGATTGTAACTCACGTTCAGCGAAATAAGATTACCCAACTCAGCCAATCCCTCCGGCAATCTCCCCGTAATCCTGTTGTGGTTCAAATCCAGATTCCCCAAGCTCTCCGAAAACTCCACCTCGGAGAAATCGAACTGAAACATGTTCCTCGAAAAATCGGCGGTGTTTAAGCTCTTGTTCTTCCCAAGTAAGAACGATATGTCACCTTCAAGCCTGTTTCTTGATACATCGATGAATGTGAAGTTAGCGTGCCCCAATCTCGCCGGAATATTCCCCGTCAGCTGATTATGTGAGAGGTAGAGATAGAAATCCTGCTGCCGGAAATCGGCGAAAGATGCCGGGATTGAGCCGGTGAGTTTGTTCCGGTCCAAAAGGAGGCCGCCGAGGTTCGGGAGCTGGGAGAGCGACGCCGGAATCGAGCCGGAGAAGTTGTTGAACGACAGCCCAATGTACGTCAGCTTCTTGAGTTTGCTGAGGAACGACGGAACAGGGCCGGTGAGAGAATTCCACCGGAGATCGAGAAAGTTGAGGTGGGTGAGCTTGGTTATGGATTCCGGGATTTGACCGGTGACGTTGACTTTGTGGAAAGCGAGGTTTTCGAGATACTTGAGGTCTCCGATGGACGCCGGAATGGGGAGGCCGAAATTAGCGGCGGAGGTGTGGAATCCGGTGATGCGGTTGGTTTTGTCGTCGCAGTCCACCGTGGACCAGGTGCAGCAGTCGGTGGTCGGATCCCATGAGATTAAATCGTAGGGATTGTTGAGGTCTTTCTTGATTTGAAGGAGGGCTTTTTTGTCATTTGGATGGCACCTCTTTGAAAATGCCAAACAGTTGAAGGAGAAGAAGAGAATTAGCAAAAGTATGAGAGAATGGCGGCAAATAGTGGCCATGATTTTTGGATAGAAGAGAGATGAGTTTATAATGTATGCCACTAGTTGATGTTTATATAAGGGGTAGCATATGGACTCTCTATGTAGTACAATGTACATACACATAAACGGTGATACGGGGAAATGGGGTTTTTCGAAAATGGGGAAACGTGTAAATATTAAAAATATAGGGGTGAATTTATAAATATTCTGTATAAACATATATAAATTTTTATGTATATATAAATTCTTTTTATATATTTTTATACAAATATATTGAAAATAAATTTTACTATCAACTATTAATTTGCAACTGATCATTAAATCATGTAAATAATTTGAGAAGCAACAAAAATATTTGAAAATTAGCTATTCAAATATGTTTCTAATTTTTTAAAAATTGTAAAATGACCCGTAAGGTGTCCGGCAGGTGTTTTCGAGTTTTCGACACGAAACGTTTCCGAAACGCGGAAAAACATTGAGAAGTTGGAGTCTCCGTGCTATACAGATGAAAATTAAACTTGAACTGAATTTTCGAATTATGTCGATTCCCATTTGAAAATTCCAACTTTTTAACAATGTTTTTATTTCGAATTTTGAAAACTAGGGAGAATTACACTTTTTCATCCGTCCAATTTCACTTTTGGTCCCCTCCATCAAGTATCCGCCGTTCACATCTAACGGAAAATACTATTGTCGCGCAGCTGATTCCATAAGCCTCTTAGCTATACCCTGATAATTTTATTGCCACAAAAAAACAAAAAAAAAAAAACATTTTACTTGAATATATGTTGGAATAGAAGAGTTGTAAAAATTAGCAGTGTTGGGCTTTTGTGGACAATCTCAACAGCAACTTGAATGCACAAGAATTCCCAAAATCCGTCGGATGCGAATATGATAAATTTGTCGTTTCCAGAGCGAATTCGTAATGCTTCAAGTATGCATCACCGATAGATCCTTGTACCTGGAGTAAATGTAATTCATTCATTCATACATACATACACGATTATAATAAATTCAAAGAGAAATTTTGAAAATATAACAACGAACATATCTGATGACCTTGAATTGGTCGTAATCTGCAATGCCATAATTTTATTAGTTTTTCTTATTTAATTTATTTCTTTTGTTTTCTTTATCATAAGAATCACGAGTAGCTAAGTCTTTAGTTTCTAGGATTTTATTTAGAACCTTATGTGGGATTTATGAACCCTTTTCTATGATTTTATGCAAGTTTTAATTCCGGATTATTTCTTTTACTTGTTTTATTAAGTTCATAAACTTGATCACCTTATGTGCTTTTATGTTATTATTGATTGCATGAATCGGAAGATCGGATTAATAATTAGAACTGTGGTAGAAGAGCCTCTGTGGTATTAACATAGGAATATAGTTAATCTCTTAGGTAGCCATTATTGAGATTTGTGTTTAATGCTATGTTCTAGAATTAATTGCGTAGGAATACAATAATTGAATCTAGGGTATTAGAATCGTAATACACGCGGAAGCGGGTTATGATTAATTTAGCATCTCAGGCTAATAATTCGGGTTAATTACTTGCATTATTGAAGGAATTGGGGGAGTAATAATCACATAGGGGGGAGAATAAAATCCTAGGCTTGTTTACTCTGATAAATCTTCGTGTTTAATTTGCTTTCTTGCTTTGTCTTTTTAATTTTTGTTAATTTAGTTAATTCTCTCTAAAGTCGACTGTGTAGGGTGGGCTTGATAATAATTGCTAGAATTTAGCGTCTATGATTAAGTAATTAAATATTCCCTGTGGGTTCGATATCCGGACTTAATTGTCCACTTTATTACTTGTACGATACGTGCACTTGCGTGTAGGTATTTACACCCAACAAGTTTTTGGCGCCGTTGCCGGGGAATATTTTAATTATTTATTTTATTCTAGCTCTAAATTTGAACAATTTTCACGATTCACCCAAATTAATTTGTTTTATTTTATCTTTTCGTTTTAATTTATTTTAATATATTCTTTTTCTTTGGTTACATGTTAGGTTACAATTTTCGCGCACCTCAAACGGGATATGAATGGCTTCCGTCTGGCGAATACCTCCAAAATACCTATGATATGCCGTCACTTTGTTCAATATGTGGTGGAGATCATCACACTAACCAATGTTGGTATGCACCGAAAGCGAATAATTTCATAGATAACACCAACGGCGGTTATTGGAACACATACACCAATACGCCACGAGGACCCACTGTTCATGAGTGTTATTTGAACTCCGTCCTTGAAGAATTTATGAAATCCACTAAAGCATCTATCCGAAGACTGGAGATACAGTTGGAAGAATTCAAGCGCCAAAGGTCTCTTGAAAATATTTCAGACGATATCGAGAATGGTTGCAACAAAGAAAATCCGTTTGAAATTTGTAGTGAGAAAAATCCTTTATACCTAGAAAATAGTGTCGATGAGAGGGAAAAAGAAATTATGAAGACGCTTAAGGATGTTGAATCTGACAATGCAATCGAGCTAAACTCCAAAGATGTCTCGGAACAAGAGAAGAAGGAGATGGATGTGGTTAGTGCAAATACTCAAATTGAGAATATTATTGTTGTTCATGACGTGGCTTTGAAGGCATCAATAGAGGTTGATAAGAAGGCGAATGTGTTTGAAGTGGAGGTTATACGCAGACTTGAGGTTTTTGTGTACCAATTTGAGGGAGCGGGTGATGAAGATCCCATCTTCGCTTCGTACCGATTGATTACAAACAAGAAAGATTACAAGCTAAAGTGGACCCTGACATATTGCAATCCTATCCCTGTATCGGTTGCAATTGAAGTGACAAAGCTCATGGATGGATGCGCAATCTACAAGGCTTTGGATTGGACATAAAAATTTCAAGAAGCAAAGTCCGGCTGAAGACTTAAAATTTAGCGCTTCTCGGGAGGCAACCCGAGCATTTATCGTTTTTTTTCTCATAACTTTTTCGTATTTTTAGTTGTTTTTAATTTTCTTAGAATATATATAAGCGTGCAATCTAATAATTTAATCATGTTTGAATTTTTATGTCGAAAAACGGACACAAAAAGCCCAGACGGCCGTCCGGAAATCAAGCCAAAACCCCAGACGGCCGTCCGGAGAAGTTACGGCGAGTTGTGAACCTACTGTTTGTGGGACGACCGTCCCAAAAACAGTGCAAAAGGTGGGACGGCCGTCCGGAACACCCTTGAAAAAAGAAAAAAAAAATTATTTTTTTATTTTTTTATTTTTTTTTATTTTTATTTTTTTCGAAAAAAAAAAAAAAAAAAAAAAAAAATAGGTGTTTGCTTCAAAGAGGAAGAGATGGAGGGGTGCAACACGTGGAGGACGTTTCGACTAATCAAGGTGTATTCTATCCTTAAACTTCGTTTTAATTACATTGAGGGCAATGTAAATTTTAAGTTTGGGGGTGGAACAACACTTTTTATGTGCTTTATGTGTTTTAGATTGCATGCTTTAGGATTTTTCTTTTTCTTTTTAGTCGTTTTCGTTTATTTATTGTTTTCTTTAAAAAGCAAAAAAAATAAAAAATTGCTTGAGTCGAACGCATCGATGAGTTATGATGATGAGAGATGATCAATGTTTGACGATGAAATTGCTTGTTTTGTGTGATAAGGATTAGATGTTTGTTTAGCTTTCGATTCAACGGAACTTAGAAGCGAATTATTGCTAGGAATCACACTTTGTGCATTGCTTTGGTTGAATGTTTTGTATTTTAAATTTGGAATTAATTTGTGCTAGATCATGCTATGTTCGGTTTTAGAACTCAAGTTAGGAAATTTATTATACGAAGTATTGAGTAGTGAGTGATTTTGGATATGATT